TGATCTAGAGAGATGAGTGGATCGAGCTGTAGATGGATAGAAGGATATATGGATGGAAAGAAGTGGATTGAGAGAGAGAGAGCTAGATCTAGAGGTTGATCTAGAGAGAGATGATGGATCGAGCAGTATATGTAGATGGATAGAAGGATATATGGATAACAAGGTGGAGATGGATTGAAAGACAGATAGATGGGAGGAAGTGGATAGAGAGAGAGATAGATAGAGGTCGATCTAGAGAGATGGATGGGATCAAGCAGTATATGGATAAAAATGTAGAGCTAGATGGATGGATGGAGAGATAGATGGAAAGAGGTGGATAGAGAGAGAGCTAGATAGAGAGGTTGCTCTAGAGAGAGATGGATGGATCACGTGGTAGACAAATGTATGTGGAGGTATAAAGAAATAGAGCAGGATAGAGAGACAGAAATGGATAGATATGTGGGAATAGAGAGAGATTGATATAGTAAGATAGATGGACGGATAGAGTTATGGGGAGAAAGAGTGAGAGAGAACAATGTAGAAGAAGGTTCACCTCATTGTGTATGATAAATTGTGCCGTTGTATCATTATGTGCAAAATTTTGATACATCATTGTGTGTTATTTATACTAACTTTATACTAATGTGTTAGTACTTTAATTATAACATGCTTCTTCTCTCAGTGATCTAGTCATCTGGCCTTTAAAAATTCTGTCCATTTCCTTACAATATCACACCATCTTGTCTTTGTCAAGAACACATCAGTTATCTTGCTCAGTCTTTGGATTTCTCCAAAACTAACACAGTTTTGAAATAATCACGTGTAGACGGCTGGATCCTCCACGACGCTGTTATGTTTAAAGGCTACAGACATGTGTCTGCGTCACAGGGTTGTGGTGATCAGTGCCACTGGACGCTTCAGTCGAGCTCCACATTATCGACTTGATTCTCTTCATGCATCAACATCGACATGTCGCCGATTCTTTGTCTGGAACACTTACCGTATTGTCGGCTCAAGTTTTGTCGCTGCAGTTCGTCTTGCTCGGCCCGCTTCACGCTACAGGAAATGCTGCACACTTGTCAATCACTGTCGATTTTAAATTGACATGCGTGTGCAATTTTGCTGGAGCCACACCCTGGTCTGGGGTCTGGAGAGCCTCCGTTAAAGAGGGGGGGGGAGGAGGAGGGTGCAGATAAATCCATTCGACGAACCGATCGTGATAAAGACCACAGCAGTAATGAGCATATACAAAGACCCTGTCTGTTGAAGATGTACATAAGAGAGGTTTCATTCAGCACCAATTTATAGCTTTAACGTTTCTTTTTCTGCTGAATTGTTATGGTCTACTTGTGAAATCATTTTCCCTCCACGTTCTAATTTCTGTACAGTCTTGTATGCCAGATTTCTAGCTTTTGCTCGAGATTCTGGTACTGTTGTCATTAGACTTGGCCAAGAACCATCTACTTTCAGTGGAAGGGGCTGTTTGGCTGACACTGCAAACAACCGAATGTGATTTCTCACCACTACCTGCTTCAAACTAAACTCTCTAACTTTTATTATATTTCGTCAAAGAGGACTTGATGTGTGTTGTTGTTTTAATCCCGTGACTAGATCTTGCTCTAGAAATCTCATTGTGTCACTGTTCAACAGTTTATTTCCCATTGGAAACCTACATGGCCGTAATGGAAATTTAATCTGAATACTTCAAGGTTCTGAACCTTGTGATCAGCTAAGTGTATAAAATATACGACGCGCTCCGTGAGCCACGTGTGGAGCGTCTGAGGCAGAGACTAATTTCTATTTCACTGCTGGTCGGTGTGCTGTAACGTATACTTCTGATCAGAGCACATGGTACTAGTTATATAGCTCAAAACATCTTCCCTTTCTGCCCAATCCGGTCACATCCACTCTAGTTTACTCCTGGAACGAGAGAAAATGGATGTGACATTACGATTGTTGTTGTGGTTAACGCTCAGCGAGTTCTGCTCGTTTTGCTGTCTTCCTGCATCCTCACTACACAGGACGAAGTACAAATGTTCATTTGTACTTCGTCACAAAAACGCATGGTGAGTATTACACATGATTTCTGGGTGGATTTTGCTGGTCAAAAGGGTAAAGAATTGAAGCTGACTTTGCTTCTTTTCACCGGCAATAACACATTGCCACGATGTAAGTGTTGCAATTAACATGTTTCCTTTTGTTTTTGAGAGAAACTGCTGGCAAGTCTCTGCTATGAAATGCTTTACTCACCTGTACCTGTTTTTCATGCACTTTTGGCCTTAACTCTACAAAGAGGGAGAGAGCCCTAGCTGATAAGGGTAAGTCCACATAATGCGTCAAGATTAATAATTCGTCAAGTTTGATCATTTATACCATTAGTAGTCTATTGAATAGCAGTTACCAGGCAATCCCATTCTGCGCCACAAAACGATCCTGAATAAACATAGATGTGTATTCATGTGTAATGGTGAATCTAGGGAGTAATAAGGAAGCTTTTGTAGATTGTTTTTAAGATGTCCTGTAAATTTCACGAAGGGTCTCAAATTTGTTTTGTATGCATTTTAACCTATATTTCTCCCACTGTTCGTTTCCTCTTCACACATGACCACTACCAATCTGGTAAACTGATCCTTTTCCTCCAAGGCACCTTCTTCTTCTAAAGACTGTCTATGGGCATCACCGCAGAGTGAATAATCAAACTCTCTTGAAAGGGTCCCCAGATGGTGGATGCCCTTCTCGACTAAAAAGTCTGCCTTTTCTGGACAGGGGAAGGCGACCCAGAGAGACTGCATTTCCACCATTACAAAGTGAGCTGACGTTCACTTGGTGTCAGACAATGTTAAGGAGAGTGAAACAGTAATCATTTCCACCCGACGAGAGCATGGCTGACTGTGCTATCGTGGACTCCTAACCACACATGTGGTATGACCGCATTACAACCTTGAGCCATTGAGACATTCGGGACGCTTTACATCTTTGAGTCAAATGAATTGAGTAGACCTTGATACCAGACTGTGAGAAGTTATGTTTGAAGTTCAGCGAATGTATTTTCCCAGAAATGCGATATTCAGAGCGGACGAAAATGCTCCTCATCTACCAAAGGAAGCGAAAGGGCGTCACCCTGTTTGGTGTTGGCTTTTAATATGGTCCAAGATGAACTGTTACTTGTCCAGCATCGGTCTGATCTGTTCCAGCCTTGAAGCTCAGGTGATACAATATCATCTGGATACACAGTGCCACTCCAGTGGAACCAGCACTCCTTCTTGAAGGGCATTGATGTTTGTTTTTTAAGGGCTGAGCCAAAAAAACCAACAAGGTGGAGATTCTGATACAGCTGCATTCGCTGTTCAGTGGTTATGACCTAACCACAGCAAAAGGTATATATGTCAAGTACTCCTCCATGCCAAGCAAATCTACACAAAAGCAGTGAACCTCTTGTGTCAGTTGAATTAATCTGACATTCCTGAGAGAGAGAACGTACTGAAGTCCGAAGATCAGATGTTTTTGCTTCCTTGTGAAAACCGAGGCTTGTTTGTAGGATGGACTAACTGTGCAGCCATGAAATTTTAGAGATGGCTGATGGACATGCAGTGTAAACTATATCTGGTAGCCAGATGCGTTTGTGGATCTCAAGCCATCTGGTACCAAGACTAGGTCAGCTCTTATACAAGAACTTGGACATGGATCAGATAGTGCTGCCAGTGGATCTTTTCTTCCTGGCAGCTCGTTCAATCCCACTGAAATAAGCACTTGCTCTCGATTGAAGAGTTGCTGTGGGTATGCCCTGGCATGCAATTGCTAGGGCTTTCAGATTCAGTTGGTTCATGCACACAGCTATTTCCATTGCAGCCTGTTGCAAACCTTGCAACATTGTGGCCTTGTTCCTGTGCTGTGAGTGGATCTCTCCAAATGAAAAAAATAACCCCAGAAAAGCCCACTTTTGAAGATTTAAAACAATGTATTATGGAAGGCCTCGGTAAAATTTTTTCCTTCTACAGTTTTGTTCACAAAGCTGTCCGATACAGGTTGTCGGAGTTTACAACTGGAAGACCTTTGTTGATCACATGACTGAAACTGATCGTTTCAACCATTAAACCTGCCTTGACTATTTAAATGGTGCAAGTACATAAGGACCTACTTAAATTATGGATTTTGCAGCTACCATTTGTATTCCAAGCCCGTGTAAACGAATCAATTCAATCAAGTTCATTAAAAGTCCTCAGCATTGTGTTCCCCAGAGCTTTTACTGATTAATTTGTTTCCCGTAATATTCTGCTTGACTAATTTATGATGATTTTATAGGCATTATCCCCAAACCAGCCCCATTGCCACAATGGACCAGTATCAAAGAGTACTTGACATACCTGAACCTTAATGAACCCATAATTGGTAAGATAGAGCTGTGATGTGTGCTTAAGTTTATTAGAAAACATGTATATTTTGAATGTTCAAAATGTGAATGCTTTATTTAATGGCTGGTGAATCCAATTGTGTCTGTATATTTTGATATTTTCTGGAAGACGACCACACTATTGTATAGAGTAACTGTAATAACTTGCGCTATCTACGTTTTAGGACTTGGTGACTTGGTTCAGGAGGAGGATTTTTTCTCAAATGATGGCAGCAGCCTGTTGCGGTACAGGTGCAGACTGTGTCATGTACTGATGTGTTATCGGTGCATGGGCGGCACCGTAGAACTTGGTGACCTGGGAAAAGACTTCAGAGAAGCAAGCAGGTGTTGTTGCGAGGGCTAAAGCTGCAATAGTAGAAAAGCAAGAGGGATGGGGAAATCCAGTGGTATGTATTCATATGTTTATCTTTTCTAACTGCCACATGGTTTGCGAATTACTTTCAAGAATGGATGGTAATACATTTTGAGCACATCACACGCAGTCAACCTTCTGTCCAGCCCACATCGCTTGTGTTCTGCAAGTGCTATTATCATAACAGCATGCAATTTTATATCAGGAGAACTAATGCACATCTGTCTCCCTGTGTTAATGTATCGTTATTATAATAAGGGCACTGATGGCTCAGTGGTTAAGGCTCTGGTTACTGATCAGAAGTTCGGGGGTTCATGCCCCAGCACTGCCAAGCCGCCACTGCTGCTCTTCCCAACAAGCTGCAATATGTGTGGGTGGGGGGGGGAAAGAACTTCATTGTGCTGAAATGTGACCTATTATAGTTTTGAAACGTGCCTAATTTTGTTTTAAATGTCTCCGACAATACATTTACATGCATCCGAGGTCAAAAACACAAACTGCAGCATTACCTTATTTTCCACAATGCCAAAAACGACTCGTTCTAAAGCAGTGGTGTCAAACTCATTTTAGTTCAGGGGCCACATACAGCCTAATTAGATGTGGGCCGGGCCAGTAAAATCATAGTATAATCACCTATAAATAACAAGAAGTCCATGTTTTTACCTTTGTTTTCATGCAAAGACATTTATATTTAATTAAATATCCTTTTATAAAATATATCATGAGCAATGTCAGATTTCTTAAGACAAACATCTGCAATTTGCTTCTGATTATCATTCACATATATGTGCATTACAACTGCTCACAGCTCACAGTACAAATGCAAAAAAAAAAAAAACTTCACAGGTATTTGGAACTGAAAAATATACTATTTCCCTTTAAAATGTATGGCATTGCATGAACAATAGGATTCCACCAAACCAAACTCTTTTGTACTGAAGCTGTTGACTAACATTGCACATTTAAAAATAAACCTATTACCCATTCATCTCTGTGAATAAACACTCTGTATCCACTTTTCTGCTTTTTAACAGACATTTTGGCTAATTAGGGTGTGGGGACGAGTAGAAAATAGAGTCGATTACTCCGTGATAACAAACAGCAGACTTCGCATTGCTGCCATCTGCTGTTCAGTCCCAGAGATGTGCCGCGTCTTTTACCCCCTAGCGGATCATTTAGGAATAGCATTTTATTAAAAATGACAAGTTCGTGTCTTTTATGCATATTTTTTTTTTTCACTTTCAAAATTCGTCCTGCAGGCCGGATTGAACCCTCTAGTGGGCCGGTTTTGGACCCACATACGTTTGACACCCATGTTCTAAAGGATTCATTCTAAACTCCTCCTTTCAGACAGCATGAGCTGCTCTGATTGGTCAGATGTCCCAGTCTGTTGTGATTGGTCTACTGCTGTCAGCATGTTTCAAAAAGAAAACGCCCACTACCATAATGAGTTTCAGCTCTGTTGATTTGCGAGTCGCCGATGAAGATCAGAGGCGGGGCTTTTTGTTACCAAATTACGTTGTTAGTACAGGAAATACGTCTGGAATTACTAACGACTTGTTTCAGCTGTTCAGAATCGCTTCCTTCAATTTGGGAGTCAATAACTCCGTTTGTCGTGTGCTCTGTTTTTTTTTAACTTTGCAGACTTTTTTGCATTCACAAACAGCTCTATAACACACTATAAGGTCACATATTTGAAAAACCATAATAGGTGCACTTTTAAGGTTTTTTCTTCTATTGCACAAACATTTTATTATTTTTTTTACAAGTTTACAACATGTAGACGGTTCATGTAGAAGGTGTAAAAGCGCAGCAGCACAAACAAGGGTGCAGGTGTGAACAAATCGTGCACTGCGATGCTTCCGATCACCCACATTGACCAAAACGAGATTTGCTGTCAGTAGAACAGCTTTTAGTAGCCAGATGAAGTAGTGTTCATGGATCGCAGACAATCTTTTTAGAATCAGGAACACACAAGAATGTGAAAATGCTGGTGAAACCGAGCAAAATAAAGTACAATGCAAAACAGTCGCATAACTCTTCTGATTGCTCCATGCAGTCTCCTCACAGTTAAACAATACTGAGAGGAAATAAAAATGCTAACAGGAGTCAGATAATATCGATGCGAGGAGAGTATACTTCATCTCATAGCCAGAAACGTTGACCAAAGAGTTCTGGATGTTTTGTCAGAGTGAGCAATGACGAGGGAGCACATTTTCCCATTTTCCCATTGTCTGTATTAATACACTCAGCAAGATTTTCATAACTTATTACCTTGTGTTAGCTACCACATTTTAGCCTACGTCTAGAGACTTCCAATCCATGGGACTGGGCAGCACATTGGAGTTTTTACTTGCCCAGTGGCTACCTGATCAATTTGATTTGTTCACTCTTGGCCTGGGTTTGTATATTAAAAAAAAAACCCTCCTGAAATGGATTGAGATTGAAACTGGGGTTAGAATCATATCCTGCCTTCCAGAGAAACACTTCAGAAACATTTCAGTGTGAAATGTCCTTAGCAGTGAAGGTGGGTAACTGTACAGCAGAGCAGCACCTGTGAAATGCCCTTGTGAGGGGATATAAGAGGACAAGAGACATGACCTTGTGTAGTAATGGCTAAAAGAGTTGTAACCAGACATTTGTTTATTGTCACACAAAGAGGTTTCTTCAGGTTTCTTGTTGAATATATGAATTTAAATATTTACTTTCACCATAAAGCATGTGTGAATTTTGTTAAAATTTTCCCTTTCAGCCACTCATGAGATCAGATAAAGGAAGATCGATGAGAAATCGAGGTGAGTGGTGTACTTGAGTCTACTCTGCTACGGTCTTTCATGTTAGTATAGTGTATGCACGTATGTGTGTGTGTATGTATGTATGTATGTATGTATGTATGTATGTATGTATGTGTGTGTATATATATATATAAATAAAATGTGTATAATATGTATACACACACACATAAAGGTGTTTTATATATTTTATTTTTTTATGGCATATGAAGAAGCAGCACAAGACCGCCCGTCTTATCTTCAAGGAAGAGCTTCTTCTGGGCAAGACAGGAGAGAGCAAGACTTCTACAAACAATCATATATGGAGCATGATTCTTACGGGAGGCCATCTCATTATCGTGAGGATAACCAATATGACCAGTCATATAGAGATGACGTCTCTCAACACCCGTCCAGTTCAGGGGACAACCGATATGACGCACCATATTCTCAAGATGACAGGCAGAGAACGTCCTTTGGAGAGAGGGATTCCATGGAAAGGCCTTATTGGGAAGATGAAATGAACGTAAGGTCTTTTCCAGGTGATGGAACTCAAGATGGACGATATAGGGACAAAGGGGTTCCGAAGTCTTTTAACAATGAATGGTACCCAGAAACAAATCCCGGCAGAGGACCATACAAGAGTAGAGAAGACGATGACTATTATCATGGTAACATTTCAGAAAACCGGTTCAGTAAGTCAGGAACGGACTATCCAGAGGGTGGGAGGATGCAAGAGCCGATGTACACGTCACACCATGGAGCAGGACCTAGCATGGATGAAAGGCAGCGGCAGAGCAGAAACTTGCCATATACAGAGAAAGGAAGAGAATGTTTCCAGGATGTTGATGAAACTGGAAGACATGGGTCTTTTGAGATGCAAGACTATAACAAAAGACAAAGGTACTTCTCATCTGAAGACACCATGCCTGCGAAAAAGAAAAGGAAGAGCAGATTCTCTGATGCCTCACCACTGGAGATGGCACTTGCACAGAAGAGGTGAGGACGGACTTGCTCGGATTGTGTATTGTGGGAGGTGGGATTGTATTGTGTGTATTGTGCTCTAGATGGGAGGCATGGCTTTACTTCCTCTCCCCCTGTCAATCACTAGCCAACTGTGGAAGTCTGTGAGCTCACATATGGCAATTGTCGCTTTCTTCCGAGTGTGTTAAGCTTCTCTTTGCACGTAGCATGAGTAGCAGCTGGAAAAGATGCAGTGGCTGGTCACAGTCCTCACCCTACCATGCTGATAGCTCTTGTGTGATAGGGGAGAACAAAAGTATGTGGACCCCTGACCGTAACAGCCATGTTATGGTCCCCAAACTATTGCCACAAAGTTGGAAATGCACAATTAATTTTTTTTGTATGTTGTAACATTAATATTTCCTTTCACTGGAATTAAGGAAGTCAAACTTGTTCCAGCATGACAATGCCTCTCAGAACAAAGCGCGGTCAGTAAAGACACTGTTTACCAAGTTTGGTGTTGATGAACTCGAGAGCCCTGACCTTTGGGATGAATTAGAAAACCAACTTCATGTCAGGTCTTCTTGCCAGACATCAGTGCCCAACCTCTTATGCTCTTGAGGCTGAATAGGCAAATCACCACAGCCACGTTCCATGATCTAGTAGAAAGCCTTCCCAAATAAGTTGAGACTTTTATAGCAGCAAAGGGAGGACCAACTCTTTATTAATTACTCTTTATTAATGATTTTCAATAATCGGGTGTCCACGTATGTCTGTCCATGTAGTATAACTAGTGTGTGGGAATTGACAAATGACCAAACTCTGAGAAAAATAAACAAGCAAAGCTACTAGTTCAAAATAATAATAATAATAATAATTTTTTTTGTCATTTTACTAATTGCTTTTTTTTTTTCTTTAGCCAAATTGATGACATGATCTCAAACTACAAACAGAAAGGAAGAGCAATTCCTACAAAGAATCAGGTAAGTTTAGAGTTGTACAAGCTCCATCTATTTTGTGTTTTCCCTTAAAATTTTTCAGGTGTGGTTTAAATTTCAGATCTTTTCTAAATAAACCTGTGTGTATAATAGGCCTCTGGAAGCAACACGGATTCAGCTGTAACTCCACGTATGGAAAATGTTTTGGATGTTCTGGTAAGTCTGGACTATAACCTCTGCTGATCTCGTCAAACTAGTAGATTATTTTTCCTTTACGCAAATTGCACAAACATTACTTGAATTTTTTGCTTAAAAAAATATTTTTGTTTACTTGTAGAATGACATCCAAATTGAGAACGTGCAAGAAGCTAATTTCTTGAAGGATAAGTTATGCACTCTTCTTAAAGAGTTCCAATCCAATAAAGTTCAGCGCAATCCGGTAGGAACCGAATTCATGTCTTTTCATTTGGGTTCTCTGCAGTAAGATTTGACTTGTTCAGTCTAAATTCTTCTTTTCATTTCCCCTGAATAAGGGCCAGGTTTCACACACTTCCATAGATTATACAAACAGCTATCATGGTGGTAACAAAATGGAGCATCGTAGAGAGATGCAGGAGATGAGACGTTTAGATGACCAAGGCTTTCAGGAGCCTGCAAGA